TATCAAAAAGTGTGCTGAAGTGACGTTACTTAAAGATTTATTTCAAACAAAATGTAATACATTCTATTTCATCTAGTTATTCTTTAGCCGTCACTTGTTTGAATTTGCTATTTTCTTATGCTTTTTTCGAGTAGAAAATTGTGATACGAATAACAAAATTTACTAGCTTAGCTATAGTATCAATGATAATGCTGATAAAAGTGACAATAACGTGTCACTTTTATGTTATTAATAATAAAATAAAAAAATAATAGCTATAAAAGGAGAAATATAATAAAAGTGACCGTAATAATATTTAATAATAATGATAAGCAGTATTTCGTGTATATTACAAATGAAACAATTTCTCCGACAATCAAGCATCGCCATTTAGTGACACAACTGTTTTTTAGTATTATTTATTAATAAAATATGCTCTTAGATAAGAAAGCATTGGCAAATAGCAATGAAACTGTGTTTCTGTATGGATGATTAACAAACTGTCTTTCCCCCAATAATTTTATTTAGTACTATAAGTAAGCGATTCATAATCTAACGGTAATTCAGTATAGTTAGTTAACAAAGTATATGCTTGGGGGAGCATACATTCGCAATTAGAAAACCAATTGTGTTTTAGTGTTATTTATTAACTAAGGTGCCCTTAGGCGAGCAAGCATTAATAATGAGATGCCCAACTATTTTTAGTATACTTAGTTAACGAATTGCTCCTAGTCGAACACAAATCTGAAAACTCATGACTGGCTAACAACTACAGATATATCGTTCTCCCAAGTCCCGTACCAAAACTGCTTGACAAAAAACCTTTCTGCTATTCTTCCACCATATTTCTCATAACAATAGTACGAGTTTACTGAGGGGTGCTCAACCATCACAAACCTATTAACGCTTAGCCATTTTGTCTCATCTGCATTCAAATCACGTGTGTAGGTTGACATTATTTTTCCGCCTTCTAACCTCAAAATAGCACCTTCGCCGCTTAATTTTGGGTTCTCGGGTGAAAAAATAGTATACGAAACTCGTTCGAAAAGGCTTCTTTTTAGAAATTGTACATTAGTCCACTATTATTTCTATTAGTCATAAACTGACCTCCTTCAGCACTCTCCATTAAATTATCTTGCCTAATCTACGCAGACAACATATTCAGATTCTTTACTTCTACAGTCCAAACTCTTAAATGCAGCTTTGTGGTGCTTCATCTCCAGATTTTTAGTTCAAAAACAACATCAGTAAAGTCATTTCCAAATGTTACGAGATTCTGGGCTTTATACAAAAAACGATGCGTGATTTCTTATGAGCAGAGTCTATACACTACTTTAGGTTTTAAATACTTCCAAATATAACTTATGCATCTATTATCTGGTCCCCATACACTCATAAAAATTTTTCTCAACTTGAAAGTATACTTCACCGTACTCGTAGACTTTTCAGAGGATAGTCATACTCCGTAGAAGAGGCCAGAAAAAAGGCTCAAGCAGGACCCAAATAAGGCGGGAAGGCCTTGAGTAGGAAAGTTAACTAATGTGGACCCACGCTGCGCTAAGTACTTTTACCTATCAGTAAGGGAAAGCTTCAAGCTTATAGTGGTGCTTGCTAAGTTAGCAGCCTACTATGGAGCGCTAGACGAGATACTGATCCTTAGGGACCCCGAGTCCTTTTCAGGACTCGAGAGAATTGGCACCTCTAGCAAATGGTGGCGAGCTTGCTCGTTAATGCTGTGAGATGCGATGGTCTCGCTGGTGGCTCCACCCTGAAGTAATGCTAACGTGGTTCTGGGGTGGAACAAAAGCTATACGGCATAGGGGAGGGGTTTTAGTGGGTTAAGGTGGTCTAATAAAAAAAAAATCCACCGAGTCCCACACTACCACTGTCCCTGCGGTGTGCCTCAATGCATTTCCTCTCCCCCCACAAAAAAATAAACCACTACTGCTGCTGCTGCTGCTACAACTACGCTTGCTACTGCTACCACTACGGCTGCTGCTGATACTGCTACTGCTGCATTGCTGCTGGTGCTGCTACTGCTGCTACTGATACTGCAGCTGCTAATACTGCAGCTACTACTACTATTACTGCTACTGCTACTGTTGATGTTGCTACTACTGCGGCTGATGTTACAACTCCTGCTGCTGCTACTACCACTTCAACTGCTACTGTTACTGCTGCCGAAACCACTATTGCTACTGCTGGTACTACTACTGTTACTGCTGCTGAAACCACTATTGCTGCTGCTGCTACTGCTACTACTCACGCAACATCTGTTAGACCAGCTCGTACGTACCCGGGTGTGGACTTGCTCCTAATGAATGAACCATCCCGCGCGTTACCAGATCACGGTTGGTACAGTGACAGGAATTGGTGTGCGGCCATCCTGATTCACAGCGATGGGTTCTCTATTTCTGACACCAGAGGTGGAGAGGGGTTCGTGTCAATCAGGTGTGGATTCGTGACCTACATAATTTGATACATATCTCCTAACATTGTGATTGGCGTCGTCAGAAAGCGGCTTGCCAAGCTCAAGTACACGGTTCGCGTGCACGAGGAGAGTGGTCACATAGTCCTGGCCAACGACTTTAACTCCAAGGCCATCACTTGGGGGAAGCCGAGAACCAACTTTAGGGGGCGGGCGGTGCTAGAGATGACTGCAAGGCTAGATCTCATTGTCATGAACTCTAGTGGCTCAGCAACGTTCAGGCGGTCTGGTAACCGGGGCACGATAATCGATATTACACTGGTGTCGTCACAAATAGCGGCTTGGGTGTCTGACTAGCGAGTGCTGGAGGACTACATGGCCAGTTATCACCAGTATGTCAGCTTCGTGTTAAACAAGGACCGTTGTGCAAGCTTGCGAGGAGTAATCCAAAGGTGCATTACCGGGTGAAATATGACAAAACTCAATCAAGATTTGCTGCAGAAAGCTATGCTAAGTACACCTCCTTCTGCTGATTTAAGCAAGATCACAAATCTAGCCGAGGTCGAGGCACTCGTTAGCGGCACTATAAGACGTATCAAGAAATGGTGCGGTGCGTGTATGCCTAAAAGCTCTCTCTGACGTTAGGGCTCGCGCAGAGATCTGCTCTTGGACCCTACCTCTGGAACCTGGTCTATGACGAACTTTTGCGCCTTGAAATGCCTCCGGAGGTCAAGCTGACGGGCTTTGCTGATGACATAGCGTTGCACGTCACAGTAAGATTCCGAGATGAGGCTGAGCGCAAAATACGGTGGGCGGTCGCGATAGTGTCAGAGTGGCTTCGGGATCACGGTCTCGAACTGGCGATCGAAAAGATGGAGATGCTCGTTCGCACCAGGCAGAGATGGTTTGGGGGGCTTTTCCGCCTGAAAAACTTAGGTGAGGTAATCTGCACAAGTCCAGTGGTGCGCTTGTTGGAGTGTAGATCGATTCACGGCTCACCTTGTGAGAGCACATTAGGAGAGCAGCCGATAAAGCTGCTAGGGTCTTTGGGGCGCTTTCACGGTTAATGCTGAACGTTGGATGTCCGTGGGAAGCAAAACCGCGGCTTCTTACATCGATCTCCAGCTCGATCCTGCAGTACAGCGCGAAGGTGTGGGCGGACGCGCTCGGGAGGAGGGATATCCAAAAGCACTTGGCTTAAGTGCAGCGCATCGGATCCCTGAGGATCACATGATCTAATCCACTGCCACTACGATGATGGCACGAATAATTCCCATTGTATTCTTGCGCTGGGCAGGCGAAGGAAGTTCCTGGACTCCACTGATGAAAACGACAGCGACAGGTAGGAGGAAGCGTTAATGACAACAAGAATGGATCAGGCTGGTATGGGTAGATGGGCGCATGAGTTGATACCATATCTGTGACCATAAGTGGAGAGAGGACACGGAGAGGTGAATCAATACGACACCCAGGTCCTCTCCGAGTATGGCCAGTTTAATGCTTATCTCCGTCGCATGATTTTAATATAAACTTAAGAAGCGTGTTAGAATATGAGTAAATTTATATTAGATATGTAACTAGTCACATTTATCATGCGGCATAAACACTACAAGTGCAAGATAATATGTATGCGTACTTTGGAATGCTTGTACAGTGATGGAGTTAGGATGGACAGAACATAGCTGTTGCCGAGCACGCACGCTCTCGTAGAGTCTCTCTCGGTATCAAAGGAGAAGATTTGGTAATCTTAATTAATTTTTATTTCGGTTGATAAATATATTAATATAAGTGATATTAAGGGTCAAATTATTAATCCACTACCTCCTGGTATATTTATTCAACAGTAATAATTTTTTATTTCATGTATAACATAAAAAAATATTATTTACTTATTAGTAAGAATTGATTTGATTTAGTATTCAATAAAAGAAGTTTTAGTACTTTGGTCGATAAGATATTTGCGACTTTTCGAAATAAGAGTCACTTCACATGTTATTATCCTTAAGTGCAGTGGCAGTCCACTGTTAGGGAAGGGGCTCATGAAAATTTTGCCAGCTAGTGTATATCGGAGGAGATTTGGATCCAGTACACTTACGTATCAATCAGATGCCAGTTCGCTGCTCCGCCGCACCACTCTATTTTCGCTGCATAAATACGGTACATATCGATTGCCCTTTTACGTATGAATAGTTCGCAAAAAAAGGAAAGACAAAGTAAGAGAGAGAGAGAGAGAGAGAGAGAGAGAAATTAGCTAAGAGAGAGAGAGAGAGAGAGAGAGAGAGAGAGTGAAAGAGATTAGAGAGAGAAAGAGAAATTAGCTAAGAGAGAGAGAGAGAGAGAAAGGAAGAGAGAGAACGTGCGTGCTTTTACCATATTAAACTACACTGCTTTTATCATCGAGAGAGCATATGATTTGTAGGGAGCGGGACTAACAGGAACGAAGGGGCAGCAAAAATTGTGATACTTTCCCCTACCTTCGTCAAACGAGGGTCTTACATAAAAAACTTTGTTTAAAAAAATGTAACGTTCTAAATATTCTAAATAACGTTTGCATTGTATGTTTGACTTAAAAAAAATCTTTTTCTTCTTACTATTAGCATACTTAAATATCAAATAAAATTGTTTTGTGAATTTTAGTAAGAAAATTATCTTACCATTTGATACAAACATTCCAATTTGCAGTCCTGGATCATCTAGGTATGGTTTCATCGAAATCATAGTAGGTAGTTCATGTACATTTAGATAAGCTCCTACACCGTGACCAGTTCCATGAAGATAATCTAAACTAAAAAAAGTTTCATCAAACTCTTTACTCATAATCACATAAAAAACATTGATACATATTTGAATATATGCGTGAAGAATTAGTCTATGTTTAAATAAAGTATTAATTCATCTTTAATTAAATCGCAAAATAAGATCGTTTTTTTTGGTCTATTTACAACACGATTTCAGTAGTGTAAATTAACGTATGTTTCAGGCTTTGACAGGTAACAAATTCATAGCAACAAAGCTGCATGTCGGTAAGTACCACGGTGACATAATTACCATCGACCAAGAGATAGCGCTAAATTATAAGCTTTTGTGGGGATACCAACGGAGTAGGCCAAGTGAGGGCGTGTACCAAACTCCCTAGTACGTCTAGTCCAGTCATAATATAGTAGCTTCGTCACGCGACTCCTGTGTGAGTCTCTTTGCGCTAAGCTGTCACTGAAGAAAGTTGTAAGAAAATCTACAAATGAATGAGTTCAAATTAACCATAGTTAATTTCGCCTTATCTACTAAATCCTTTCCAAACGTTCGCTCTGACAGAAAGAAGCTATTCAACTAAATAACTTGGCCTTAACTTCTCCACTTCTGATTACATTACAGGCAGTTCTCCAACAAGATAGGAAATTAGTAATGATACATAAAACTATTAAAAAGCTATATGTGGAGTGTATCCTTATTTTAATTAAACTTTTCGACGTTTTACCACTCAAGGAGGCATATGATAATTAACTATACATACAGCCCCACTTGAGAAGGTGCCTCAAGCTCTCCCCATAGTTCGCAATCGGCATCCCAAGTTCAACCTGCATATTAAATCTTTAAATACAATCATATTTTTATCAGCAAATTGTTCACATGTACAATTATGTCAATCATTAAAAATAATTTTTACACTGTAGAGGTCTGCTTGAGTGACAAAACGTCGACAAATTTTATTGAAATAAAGACACATGCTCCACATATGGCTTCTTAATTGTTTTATTTGTTGGACATATATACGGAGTGAAAGAAGGAAAAAAGAAGTACCATGAAAAATCATGAATGATTTCAACTGGTAGATTTAATGTTTCATACGAAACAACTTCTTAGTCAGCTAAAAATGTTTTAAACATTTTAATACTGAAGCCGTAACCTTATATACCCACTCATATTTCTATATTTTCCACTATCTCTTTATGGTGGACCAAATTGTTATTTTTTTCCAATGTTAACACTTAAGTATGATTCGGGTAAGACTTGTACAGTACTTAAGGAGGACTTTTGAGGGAACTCTATACGTCCATGTGTGATGTTGTAACATTTGGTATGTTTGGAAACAACTCTCATATAATTACGTAACGTGGGCACTATTGGAAGACTTTTGAGGGACTTGTGGAGGATTTTTAGGGGACTTTTTAAGGCTTACGCAAGACTTGAGTAGGACTTTTGGAAGACGTAGGGGGACTTCTGAAGGACTTGCGAAGGACTTTTAGAGGACTTGTGAAGTACTTCAGCAAGTCTTTTGGGGGACTTGTAGAGTAATGTAGGGGGACTTATGCAGGACTTTTGGGGGACTCGTGAAGGACTTTCAGGGGACTTTTGACATTTGTTTTATTCACAAACATTATTTAGTGTGGCAACCACATGAAAAAAATTAAAGTGAATTTGAAAAACTATTTCTGCACTAATTAGTTCTCAAAATTATAAATTTAAAACTCTCATATAACAAGGTTCAAGCAATTGTCCTTTTACTTGAGTTTCTGAGACGCTAGAACATTTTGCTTCAGACAACCCAGTATTCTTTGACACTAAATCCATCTACTGTTATTTTTTGCATAAAATCTGTTCAGAATGCAAGTTATTCAGTTAGAATATATTTTAGTATATATGTATTTTTAATTTTTAATAACATACCAAAAACATATTCATATATATCGTTAAGAATGGCTGGGTGACCTCCTCTCCTTGTAGCCAACATCAGTTTCAACTCCTCTACTCCAGTAATGATAAAGAAATTAAGATCAGTAATTCGTTGAGGGTGAGGCAGGAAAATAACACACAAAAGTGTTTAATATTTCCCATAGTAAAACTCTTTGTAGAGCTCTTTGATGCATCGTCCAACAGTTGTATTGGGCCAGTATACAAAGGAAGGTTGGAAAAAAGAGAAGAAAAGGAAGGGATTCGAACATGTTTCGTCCTAGATCGTTAACAGGATTCATCAGTGTGGCTATGTCAACGGGCTTAGCCACAGACGCCGGTGCGATAGGATAGAAATTTTGCGTGTGATATGAATTCACATACCATGAACGTATGCACGATGAAGCAAAAGGGCCAGGATGAACAGTACAGAGCTATCTGATCCAATACTTAAAGTGACTATTGTATGCCATTTTCCTGCCTCACCCCCAACGGATCACAGATCTTAATTTTTACATCATTCACAATGGAGGGTGCTTTCAGAAAAAAAAAAAAAAAAAAAGATATTCACACTTTGACAACTGCACTCTCATACGTGCATATCTCAGCAATGTGTGTATAATCGTATTTGTACGTCAGTCGACTAAATAGCAGCATAATTCCCTACAACTTTTATTACTGTTAACAATACGTGATAACTATTTTATTATTAAGAATTTTTCGTGTACTTAAAGCAACAAATATATTTACTAGAAGTATCTGAATTTGGAAAATCTTTTTTCACTTTTAATGTATCCTGCACCTTTTTTAGAGCATCTTTAGGAAAAGGAACTATTAGAATTTATTGAATAATGAATTCTTAATAAATTAATAAATTACAACTCATTCGCATTGTAATGTATACAACGATGACTATTATCAACTAACACTGAAGAGCCAGATTAACAAGTAGAAACATTGATACAACAGTACTGATTATCCTTTTCTTAGATTGCCTGAGCTTTTTTTGAAATATTCTGTTATGCCTGTTTCTAGAATATGCAATTTTTCTGATACTGTAGATGAATCCATCTTCTTATTTGAATTATTTTCTTCGGTAGACTTTATGGAAACTTTTAAGATGAATAAATAAGTTTTTAATAACTATATAGATCAACAAAATTATGATCAACGTGACTGTAATGAAATATTATCTATGTCATTTTATTTTAAAGAATAGTAGCTGTCTCATCTAAATAATAAAAAAATGACAACGCTAAGAAATAAGGCTACATTAATGTTTGGATGAATTATTTTGTTCGATTCAGAAATATTCGATTGGTGATTTACCTGTGTAGTTTCCATACGCAAATGTCGAAGGTAGACAGAGACTTTTTTTTTAATAGGAAAGAAATTAAATTATATTACAGTCCATTTGTTAGTATCTGCAAGAAGACGTGTATTATATATAAAATACTTGATATTAGTATTTACCTTGCACAGAATAGCCCGGATAAATAAAAACTCCATTCAAAAGCATCCGTAAGTAGCGCTTGTCATCTATTATCTGACCTTAATTCTTCAGACTATTTTCTTTGAAGGGCGATAAAGGATCTTATATGAGAAAAATTTTAGAAGAATGCATAGATAAAACTGTAAGCAGCATAACTCCAGAAATGGTACAAGAGACTCTGAACAAGTTCACAAGGAAGTTGCATTGCTGCATCACACGTGACGATGGCTACATCAAGCCATATTTATAAATAACTGTATATATTTACTATATAAGACGTAACTAATAGGGCCGAGTATTCCTTTAAATGTAGAATGACTTGCAATACTATTAGGTTCTCTATAGTTTGAGACACCCACAACATTATCATACGCACGGCATACAGTTCTTACTACATAAGTTGTTATATTCATCACATAGCTTAAAAATACATATGTGCAACAAATCATTGCTAAAGTATAGCCAAAGTCCTAACAAAGAATTGCCCAAGCACCGCTTTTGTCCTGCCCAAATATCGTCAAAATGTCACGGTAGAGCTGTTCTAATACTGCCAAAGTACGCCTCAAGTTCCACACGAGTATAATCTAAACGGTACTCTTATCCTGCCCAAGTTCAGTCAACGTGCTGCCCAAGCGTTCCTCTTATCGTGCACAAGTATATCCTCTAAAAGTCCTTAACAAGTACAACAGAAGTTTCCCTTTACGACTTCACAAGTTCCCACAAAATTTCCCCAAAAGTCTTCCACAAGTCCCCCATAAGTTGCCTTTAAAGTACTCTACAAATGCTCCACAAGTTCCCTGTAAGTCCCACGAAACCCCCAAACTTTTGTTTAGTATAATCTATTGGTCATGAGTGGCTTGGGCAATTTAGCATTGGTAAATAATAAACCCAACTAAATTTTAGTATTTATTATCTTTTGCAATCAATCTTCGGAGGTTAGAAACTTGATTGTTTCAAGTATTATTAATAAATAAAATGTTTCCTTAGGCAGCAAGCATTGGCGATGAGGAACCTCACTGCTCTTTAGTATTATTTTTTAATAAATTGTTTCTGTTTGGTAAAAT